GGTGATGATGCATGTTCAGTTATGTACAGTACAGTAGCTCAATGGTTCACTTCCTTTAAAGATAAACTTGTGTTATGAAACCCAAGTATTTCGGTATACTGGGATAACAAATCAATCAGAGGCAAACATCTGCATTAATTTACAATTGATCACGACAATTCAAAATGCTGATTTCAATAACATCACAAACCTGGCTATAGGGATTTACCTGCAGTTCTGTATTAAATAATTACCAAAGGACCATGGGTGATAGGAGTAAACTGTTTTATAAATCCAGACAAGAACTGAAAAGTGATAATTGATAACAATATTGAGAAAGAACACAAATGACAGACTTTTGTAATACTTTTGTACATATTACATACATTTCTGAATGCTGTAAAAGATGCATTTAAATGCAATGGATGCCAAAATTATTTAATGCTTCATTTTCACCTGTGACCTAGATTAACATGAACAATTCATTCCTTTCAGCCTGGTGTACTGCCATCTTCAAGTGTTAATCCAACTGCTAATACTGTAGGTGCTAACACCAGTCACAGACCATCTAGCACTGGCATTTGTTTATAAAAGTAATTTGCAGTTGGGACATCTTTGTTATTCAACACTGCAGCACACGCAGAATACAGGTCTTTTATAATGTTGTTTTCAATGTTTCAGATGTTCAATGTATTTACCTCATTTTGAAGCATGATTTGACCACAGTGACCTTATCAAGCACAAAATGCCTCAAGAGGACTCAGACTTCTTTTTTGTTGTTTTTCACATCCAGTCCTTGAAACACAGGTTCAGGTTTTACTAGTGCCAAATAAATATTGTACACATAAGTCTACAAAAAAAAGCACTTCCACCACATAATAGTTTGGAAATCGGTAAAAAGGAAAACGATTATCAGCACAACCAGGAAAACTAAGGAAAGAGCGTCCACTGGACAGGTAAAGAATAATGATCAGTGGCCACAACTTGATTCATCTTACACTGAGAAGACTGTGAGCCTCGATAACTGCCATGGAGCTTTTGATAGGGTACCTCAATGTAACAGGCTAAAGGCTACTGAAGAGCACACTACATTCAGAAAATGTTGAGGTAAACAAGACCCAAAGCATGGTCAAAACATGGTAAAGAACAGACAAAATAGGTGTGTAGCTGGGAGAGGAATATATTACTTTATATGGTAAACAGTAATGCATCTGTATGACTCAGAAAGACTCAATAACACATTCCTTAATGTAATTGTAGAACAAACACAGACTGAGGAGATGAACAGTACATAGTCTCTGTTAAAAAGCAGTGCTCTATTACAAAATGTTCATTCTACTCAGTTAACAAAATCTCAGTTAACAAAATCTCACACCTTAGGTTTGTACACTTTTATAGGGCTGTTGTAAAATCTAAATCAAAACTTGAGTACTTCCCCCAAAAATCCTTAAAGTGCACATAAGCTTTTAGTGACAATTCACACTATGCATCAAAATCCCGAAAGGCATTCACATCGTCAATCCGTGGGGCCTCTTGCAGATCCACAAAAATACATAAACTCAAGGACAGGAAAGCAGCAGTGAGGCTTGGGAACAAAATTCCCTAACTATTTGTTGAAGCTGGATGTGGGACCTCAGAAAAATTGACTTGATGGGAAGACCTGCCACAAGTACTCTCCTCACCTGTAGCCTTTCTTATGTTCTTGTTCTAAAAATACATTGTTTTATTTCATGGAACGGACAAAGAAATTTAAGACTAAAATATCCTTCAGGGGTAAAAAGGCTCAAGTTTGAGATAAGATGAAAACCAACATAATACTTCATAATTTCATGAGCCCTTGTTCTTATTTAGCCAGCAGTATTGACAAAGACATTAAATTGGACACCGCCGGCTACAACTAAGGCCTGTGGAAATGACTAAAAGGAAAAGAATGATGAAGCAAAAAAACACTCCCCTCCCCCTGCTGTGAGGGCTAGCTTTCCAGGTACACTACATTCTCCTGTGAGCCTCGTTTGCACAGTGTTTTCACATCAGAGTCTTTCCCACACAGTCCGCACTGTAGCCTGTTCCAGCAGAGGCTTTCTGAATTAGACATTCAAGCAAGGTGCAAAGGTTACACCAACACAGTTACTGCGGCATGTCATTTTGTCTCTCTTGGTTGCCTTGGCGCTGCGTAGCAATGGCTCCTGCCGTGTTTGATCAGACTGTGGGCCGCTACATTCTCCACACTTCTCCTCCTTCAGGATCTAGGGGCATCCATCGATTGATGGCAATATCAGACAAGCCACCCTCCAACTTTTTCTTATGATTTTTCATGCAGAATCTAGGATTTTCCTGACACTGATGGGGGACAAAGAGGCTTGTCGCTAACATCTGTGTTAAGTAAATATTTACTTCACAAATTGTGCCCCTTAATCTCTGTCATTGTCTATTTTTTCCTTTCTCTCTCTAGTCCCTGTTCCTTGTTTCAGAAGGTTAACCACAGACAGTTAACATACTTTTACACCAGATTGGCTTCTCTGAGAGTTGACCAGAGGGAGCTTATCCTTATTCCATGTGACCAAGATTTACTGTACAGTTTTACATCATACTATAAACTTTATTAACACACTATGTTCTCATTGCATCAGACACCACATGAGGTCACCTATAAAATGTAACAAAGAAGAGTAAAAAAATGGCAATTACTCAAAAGAATTTTATATATATATGCAATATAATTTAAGTATCAGTTTACATATTGTAGATGCTGAGGAAAACCTTGTTTCTTTAAAAGGTGTAAAGGAACACTTTAGACATGTTACATGTCCATCACAAATTTAATTTTAAATGTTATCATATCCCCTCATGAGGCAAATCATGCTGGAAACAAGTTCATCTAATAGTATTTGGCCATGCTGAACAGACATCCATGGCACCTGGTCTTACCATAAAAGTATTTAATCCTCCCCTTTCACACCTTAACTTCAGTTACAAAGTTTTTCAAAGCAAAAGACTATAAACGAGCCCATACAAAATGCTGTGCTGATGTGCACAAATCTAAAATTACAGTGCATAGCATCACTCAAGGAGTAATTTCAAAATCTTAAGTCATGAGGGTCTGTAAATGTGGTCCTTTTCTCTGAGGGTGGGGAAGGCAGCAGCAACAAAACCTTACTGTATATGAGCTGTGGTGCTCAATGTACTTTCTCCACGTAAGGTTAAGTCCAGAAGTAGCCTGCTCACTTCTGAACTCTGAACAACAAAATGTGCAATCAGAAAAGGAAAGAAATAAGTTCTAATTGTAAAATGTAAATATTAGGTTTTCCCACAAGTGGGAGCAGACCACCCAGGGTGCAAAATAGTCATTTTTCCCTCCTTCACTGCTTCTCAACAGCCCAAACGGCGTCTTTTCTTCCTCTTTATTTAAACGTGGCATTACTTGTATACCTCACCACATTGCTTGGGCATCCTATGGATGAGCCATGTGGAGTCAAATACAGATGACTACAATATTCTGAACTGGATGTCGAAGTTACATGCGATCTTCCTGCTACTTCTGTGTGTAATTAGTACTACTTCAAATGAGTCAAATAAATATTCCAACCTTACTTACTAAGACCAGACTAAGCATTGCAGAGAACAACAAAATGTGTAAGTTTTAAAAATTAACAAATGTACAATATTACCCATTACAGTTTCAATATTTTGCATTTTGCAAGGTTTCTATTACTGTTATGTTTTACTTTTGCTGATTTTTTTTTTTAAATTAATACAGTATATTTTTTCTAACTATGGTCTGTCAGATTCCCTTTGTGCAGACTGATAGCACATTTGGTACAGGTAATTACAGTGTAGTTTGTCAATGCTTTTTGATAAAAGTACTGGACAACACTTCATGAACCACTCTGCCACTGATCTTTAAGATTGAGTAGTTCAGAGTGGGATGAATTACAAAAGCTTTTTTTAGACTAAACTACCCCACTTGACAATCCTCTAAAACAAGAGAACATTCAATCGTCAAAAAAACCCCAACAAATTTAAGATTCCTGGTGATTATTGATTGAGCTCCTGTAAAGTGTTTTAAACAAATAACTTTTCATTACTTTCAGAAGCTAACAATATACATGGACATCTTTCATCTATAAAGTGTATACACATGTCTGAGTGTGTCTGTAACTCAGTGCATACATCCTTACATCCTTTGAGAAATTACATTAACTGTATAAGCAGTCCTGCTGAGACCCATTCAGGGTACAGTTATTATTGTAATATTAATTACGAGTATTAGCAGTAACTACCATTGTTATAATTTAAACGGGCAGCTTTTACTGAGCAGCCACCTGGACTACCAAAATGAGATTGCTGAGTTTATGCTGAATTGTGCGAGAATGAACAAGGCATGGTAAAGGACTGGCAGAGTACAGCAATTCAGAGTTTATATTCACATAAAAGGGATCATTGACACCAGCACCATGAATCTGCATTCAAATTGTTTTATACATTTACTGGATATAAAACATGAATGTCTGCTATCAATTCAGACTAATTCAGTTCTAATAATAAGGATAATAATCCGTTGAGACATTAAAGCTTTAACTGATCAGTGATAAGTCAATCAAAATATAATAGTTAAAACATTGTATCTGCTTTGTAAACGTAAGATAGAATTATTAGTAAATGAAATCACATCACGCAACAGCACAATGAAAACTCGTGATAAATGCAATAATCCTTTAAAACTTTAGAACTTTTATCTTGAGCACTATAATGCAAGAAACTATGTTAAGTTTCTTGTTTGCCTTTTATCTGTCGTATCCCAGCCTAAGATACTACCAGTACCTCGTTTCCTTGTAACAGATCACTTATTTATTACTTCAACAAAAGCATTATTTACAAGTCGTTAGAAAAGGATTTGCGTTTAACTTGCTCTGATTTTCCAGCCAAGTGTGAAACTCATTTAAAAACGCATAACTAAAAGCAACCCGCCCCCACATATCAGCGTCAAATTAGTGTAAAATGAAAGAAAAAAACAAACTTACCTTGAGTAGATTTGGTTCCTAAAGCACTATCAGGCTGTTGGACAAAGGCAACCAAAAAGAAACCTAAAAATCCAATACTAGCGCGCATCACAGCGTACCTATACATATTACATACATATAATAAAATTGCTTAAACATATACACATGTACGTCCTCGGACAAGAGCAAGCAACACAATTTTTTGAGGCGTTCAATGAAGAGCAAGGTGAGGATACTCCTTTCTTCCTTAGCCCTGCTCGGGTTGCTCTCCCTTCCCCGTGTTTTACTTTAAATGCTCGGGTACTACGAGGTGCCCGGCTATGTGCAACACTGGAGAGAGTTCTGTGATCATGTTCGACCCTAGCCAATTTCAATATAAGAGAGAGAGAGGGGGAGAGAGAGAGATAGAGTGAAGACGAGAAGAGGAAGGGGGAGGAGAGATGAAGATCCGCGCATTGCTACAGCTCTCGCTCTCCCTCTCTCTCTTTCTCCGGCTACTTGCAAGGATTTTCTTTTTCTGCAGGAATTTACAATCAGCTGCTGGTTAGTGCATGGGGAGGTTACCATGGAAACGGCTTCTCTGGGCGCGGAGGTCAGACTCGGGGACCATGTGCAATCAATGGATCAATGCGAGTTGAGCGCAACATCCAGACCAAACAACCTCACCGTACGCACACTAGCAGAGACACAGCTCCCAAAAGAGGGACAGAGAGAAAGAAAATAGCGGAAGACTCAGGCCAGGTTTGGCAACATCAGCGGACTGGGTATTTCATTGGGTGTCTAGTACGTGTACTCGCCAAATGCCCTAGCCAGTACAGTATATATTTTTCTCTGTTTCTTGAATTTGATTGGTCACAAGTGTTTAAAATGTATTTAATCGAACTGCTTTCCGTCACCCTTCTTATTACTCCCTTTCTAAATGGCTGCAGCACGCACGCAACCTGAAAACACCTTTCTCCTCTTTCCCTCGCACTTTGAAAACTCTTCCTTGTGATTCCTTGCAGTGCAGTACATTCCCACCTCCCGGCAAGGGATTCGTTTAGCTTCTTGAAAAATCTGCGAAGTAATAAATACACTTCTCTTTAATTATTTACTTAACTAGTCGACTTTAATATGGCATAACTCATTTTTGTTCAATGAACATAAGCATGCCTTATGCTATTTATGGCCGAAACAGCTGGAAAGAAAGACCCGTCAGCCAGTTTAATTCCCACCAAGCACAAGCTAAATGTAAGCTAAAAACACAAATGAGCCCCAAATGATTTTAGAATAAGTGTTTAAAGATTATCCAAAAGAGGGAAGAGGGTGAATGGTTATTTCACTGTATGACACTGCCGTCTCCCCCACACACACTTTATTCTAGGCTTGGATAAATACAAATTGCCGATAAATAAATAAAATATAAATATAAATAAAAATTCATCAGCTGTTGGGAACTGCTAATGTAAACGCAGCCACTAAAGCCCCAATCTGTCCCGACTGTAACATGGACCTCGTTAAACTCATCACACAATCCCTTCAGTAGCCTTGATTTTGACCTTCCCTTGTTTCTCAAGCAAGCTTGCATCTCTCACTGCCCAAACAAGAGCACACACCCTGCGCACAGAAGCGGGAAAAGAACACAAGGGGCCCCAAGCCTCACTTGTGTCAGACCCAGTCCATACCTGGCATTGTATGGGGCTGTTTGCCTTCAGAGGTCAAAACTGGTGAGGCACATTTACAGGGGCTGCCTCTATTTAGTGTGTCAGGCATAGAGCTTGCTCTTGCTGCTACCCAGCTCAACCGCAAGAGACTGCCCCGAAAACACACGTTTATCACACCTGTAAAACAGTCGTTGACTGTCTTCCAAAATTATATTTTATGGGCAGACACACACCTATAGATAGCTGTTTGCTTAAGAAGGTCACGGCTGCCAAGGCACATTCATTTAATTCAGGCTACACAGTATCTGCTTCTAATTTGGTTTCTTTTTAGACATCAATCCGTAGGAGAAAAGAAAAGCAAGCATGAGTTAGCCTGCTCGGGTTCTGTAGCTGTGCTCTGTACTGTTGCTCTTCAACCTGAACGACGGCAAACACATTTCAGGAGTGGTTTAGATTTATCGGCAATTTCTGTTATTTCATTGTGACGCATACTGTTAAACTGTGTGCGTGCTGCAACACTGCATGCTGCTGTTTTTTCTTAGATTATCTGGCATGTGAACACTTTTCATCACAGTATGCGAGAAAGTTTTATGGGGAGGTAAATTACTTCCACAAAAGATCTGAAGCTCAGTGGTGGAGAATAATTTTTTTAGCACTTCTCATATACTCCCTCTTGTCAACACATCTCATTTACTGTAGCTTGAGAGGCCTGCATGAGAATGTAAAGCCTTCTCATCAGCCATCACAACCCACTGATCATCTGCTTCTTTGTCACTTTCTCCAGTTTGCCTCGTATTTGAGTAATTGTGTCTGGTACATGCCAGTACTATCAGCTTTATGGGAAATGTCAGAAAATGGTAAACTAGTTCACAGCCATGCTGTTAATGACAGTTTTCCACGACCTTATTCCTAAATTATTCGTAACTTTTCAAGGCATGGCAAATGGTTGAATAGACGTGGGAAAACACAATCATATGAGATACACAGAAACAGGAAGAAAAGGGACAGAAGGTATCTCAACTATATTACACCTGTCCTCAGTATTCTGCAAAGTTCTAGATGTGAAAGACTTTTTTCTTAAAACTCAGCCCTGTCCATTTTACACCTCCGAAATGCAGCATTCAAGACTCATGAAGGAATGCGAACTACATTACAAAACTATTTAAAAAGTAAAGCTACATCCAAGTAATTAAAAATACCAATTAGAAAAGGAACACAAGAATAATACAGTATATCTAATGACAAACACTATATCAATTGTATTTGCAGTACAGAATATCCCTTACAGATACGGATAGAACAAGAAAATCAGTGTTCTTTTTTAGATCTATCATGTTACAGATAGAACTTTTTAGCCTATAGATGAAGAAAAGTGCTCAAACCTTCAAAAACATTCTATTAAGACTTTTTTCTAAGATTCTAGAAATTACAGTTTATTGACAGATCTGTTCAGCACATTCATACCCTTATTTAATGCTCAAATGAAAAGGAAAAAAGAAGTAAAAATCATAATGATTTGTTATTTATCTTATATTTTTTCCTCATGCACTGTGTAAAAGTGGTATTCTAATGTATTGTGTTTTTGCTGTAGTTAATAGTTACATCTTAACATGTTCTCCTTCTGTTTTTCATTGACATTCAGTCTTATTTACTAACCAATTATGTGTTTAGTCAATATAGTTGAAAAATGCAATCATTATTACAATAAATTTAAGTCACAAGCCACAAAAATGCTTAAGAAACAGAATACGTTTCTCAAGCACAGCAGTAAAATGATTGATGTTGTATTATAAATATGGCTGTTTTTACATCTTTTTTACATCACTAGCAGGAAAGATAGGCCAGATTATGTTTTATTTATGACTCTGACTGAAAGACGCACAAGCTGGCAGAGAGAGAGAAGGGACTTAATGCACCAGTGCATTTGACCTTCTGTGTACCATGGGGTCAAGGGGTCCTGACCTTCCAACTGTTGTTGTAGTTAGAAGCTCAGTGCAAGTAAGAGATGTTAAGCAAATTAACCCTTTGAAATCCTTCAAAGTTTTTAACATACTCAAAAAAGGGAAAAGCTGCACATAAATAACTAGTGAAACAGAACTGTGAAAATCTTAATTTCATGAGCTGTCCTTCTCTGCTCTGTCTATAGTCGATTCTCACCCGGATGCAACTAGAAAGAATGATGAAAAAGGTATTGGCTGCTTGAAAGTGTGTATTATACAATTACCAATATTTATTTTGACAGTGGTAGGGCTTACATGGACATGTTTTTTTTTTTCTTTTGATGTGTTGCTTGTCCATTTCAGGAAGTATTCTTGTATGCCAATCTGTTTTTGGAAGAAAAATAGCATGCACTAACTCACTTATCCATGTCTGATACCATTTATATCAAGAGTAGTGTTTCATGCATTACTATGAGAATGATTTAGAATTTGTCTCCTTACATTGCCAATTAGCACCAATTTGCTTCTCAATCCACAACTGATTATTAAGACTATTAAAAGAGTGCATTGTCCCCACCTTTATCTTGTTCATGTTAGACTATTTTTTAAAATGATATGAACACAGCCTTGGTCAGCCCTGAATGCATATAGTTAGCCCAGTCGTTGTGAACTGACATGTGTCATGAAAACTTGGCTTGCTTCAGGTATAGCATTGTGAGAAAGCAAACAGTAGATGGATATCTAGTCTGTATTTTTATCCCCAAATCCATAGGTACTCTTATCTGGAGACTCTGTGGAGCTGTTTCTATAAATAGTATGGATGAGAAAACATTTTTCAGTACTTACCTTCAGCCAGCTTTGATGACATGTTTTGTGTGGTCTTGCTGCAAAACGGTAAACTCTTTTCTGTTTCAACCCATTTTTCACAAGCAAGCCAAAGTGCTTCAGGAGTGAGTCACTTCTTAGTAGGTTTATTGATGTTAGGTTTCGCTTTGGAAATTGAATACTTTGTAAACTAAGCTCTTGCAAACAAACAACACAAATTACCATTTCCACCTGGAGAGGAATAACAACTATTCTGGAAAAAGAAAAGATTCAGCAAATTGTATTGCAGAATAATATTTTAGACAGGCATGAATTTATCCACCTACAGTAGCTAGGAGGGCGGAGGGCATTGAAGACCATATTAAAAACAAATTAGTGTACACATTTAGCAGGTTAAATAAGCGAATGGTCTCTTCACACCAACAGAAATACTTATTTTGGATCCTTTTTGAAGATGGCACCACTTAGGATTATAATTGAAAAGATACATATTTGGTAAAAAGATTAGTTAAAATGAAAAAATAATGACCTCCAGTAAGAAAAAAGAGGTGAGAGAAAAGTGTTAGGGGATTTATACAGAGACACTAATTTACAAGTTACATGTTTGCACTTTCCAAGATCCACCATTTTTAGAAAACAAGGCAATCATGACTGCAAAGGTTAAATCATCCCCAGAAAAAAATGTGGTAACTTGACAAAACATGGGAATCTCATAAATACTTAAATCATTGTCAGGATCTTACAACAGGGTAAAAATGTCTCATAACAGGTATTACCTACAGTAACATCCCAACATTACTTAAGTATCCCCTCTTTATGTGTATTTATGTGACCTTCTCAACACACATTGGCAATGTTATACCAATCAGTTAGATCTGACATCAATCAAATATCTGAAAATGGTGCTGTCTCTGACAGATATTTGAAGTTGAAAGGAAAGTCAGACACACACTGGCACTTTTCAACACCACTGGGTCACACACTGTCTGACAGAGCAACATTAGGAGTCTGGGAATTTTAAAGCTACATTCCAAGGGACCGGAATTGACGTTATGGTGTTTAACCTATCTGTGCCCTGACTGAATATATACCCCCTGAGAACATTTTCTTTTCTTAAAAAGCCAATCTGAAAATTGTGTACTTATATACAATTTGTCCTGTAACTTATGGGCAGTTAATTAATACCCAAATTACAGGCCCCAGCATTGCCACCTTATAGCCCGATCTTGTCAGTTCTCAGGAGATAAACAAAGCTGGAGCTGGTCAGTTCTGGGACAGGAGACCTCCAGGAAAATCCAGGTAGCTACGTACGAACCAAGAGACGGCACTTTACTCTCTGGACAAGAATTTTCAAATCAATGTCCCAGAATGACATAGTCAGTCTTGAGAAGATACATTAAACTGAGGTTCTGAATACTACATTGCTAAAGATCCCATGGCACTGTTTGTAAAACAAGGGGTGTCCCGGTTAAATTCTTTTCCGAACTAGCAATCTGGCGTCCCTGAAGTTCTCTCTTATTTGGAGAAGCACTTTCTCACTTCTCTACTTGATTTGCTGTGTAGTGGGGCTGCTGATGTGTTATGGCTACCATGTATTTCCAAGGTGGATGCTATACTTCAGGAGGTTCTACCTTATACTGTATGTAAATCCTCTTGAGAAGCTCTGGAATAAAAATAAAAAAACACTATTAAAATGCAATGAATTAATCGATCAGTATTTGATTAAGGTATTTTATTTTCCTTTAAAAAGTGAATAAAAAGAGATATGGGGTTTACCACTCCATACAGGCATAAAAACAGCTGGAAATGTCCATTCACTTTCAATCCACTTCATCACACAGACACAAACATGCACATACTCATACCAGGGCCAGTTTTCCCAGAAGCCTTTGGACTGTGAGAGGAGATCAGAGCATCCCCACGCAAACACAGTGAGAATACTACAGAAACCCATAGCTGCAATGCTAACCACAGTGCGCTACTGTGCTACCCTGGGTGGAAATGTGATGTACATTAAAATTAAATTATTAGCATGTTATCTAGAGTGCTTTAAGAGAGGATTAAGCATATTTTATTCAAATAATAGACATCAAGAGGATAGGCTTTGTCATTAATTAATTGGATGTAAATGTGCTAGTCATGAACTTTCAGAGAATGATGGGTAAAAAAAAATGGGAGTGGGGTCAATTGAGGTCATACGTTTAATCAGACAGAGATTTCTCAAAGCGGAATTGCTGAAGAAGACTGTCTTATTTCTGTTCCCTCAGCAGCAGGAGGCTAGGGGCAATGTGGGCTTGTTTTAGAATCCAGAAAAGCTAAGCACAGGCAGAAATCTCAGCAGTGATCTGACTGGGCAAGATACCATCTGGAGTGGCCCACAGCACTTGCTATGATCTTGCTGCGCCATCCCCTCCAGTTGCTAAGTGTTTCACAGATACAGGAGGCTGATATCATGGCAGCACTGTGGACTCTGAAACACTTCCAAAAACACACAACTGCCTGCAACACTGACTCAGCACAGAATGCTGCCCTTGAAGAAAAAGCACCAGGGAGGTGAAGAGTGGTGAGTGCATTATTTTTGCTGTTTGTGGTTTTCTGCATTTATTCTGTTTTTTTTTTTAAACATTTAGCATAGTCAGTTGACATTTTCACATATTTTCCTCATATCAACGCAATGGTATGTTAGGTTTCTTCAAGAAGCCCAGAAAGCAATAGGGGCTGAAGATTACTGGCGGTCCTACAGTATGACCTCAATGTCTAACCAGATACTTTTCTCATTTCACCTGGCATTATGTTGCCAATTTTTCCCATAGCATCAGACGTGATGTAAAACAAAACGGATTCCTTCTTGCTGCTTGGTCACGTAGGCAGTTATTCCTCGTTTGCGAGGATTTGTGTGTGCCCTTATACCAGCTATCCAAGGTGTACCACTGGTGAATCCCCTCCTTGGAAATTGCTTTGCTTTCGTAGGCTTTTTGCTGTCACTCTAACTTCTCTGACTGGTTTATCTGATTCTCACCCTGTGTTTTCTCCCAGTATAAGAAAAAATGCTAGTGTTCATGTCCAAGCCTTTAACCAGTTTACTGTTACACATTATGCTTCAGTAAACAATGGCTTTCCTTCTGCCACGTAACGAGTACACAGATAACCTGGCAGAGAAGGAAGAGTGAAAAATGGCCCACATTTTTTTTAGGGAGTAGAGCAGTGCTTTCACCCATTCCTCTTCATCAAAACTATATATTTTCCATCTCTTCAGACTGACCGGGTCTTTTGTCTGTGTTGCTACTCCTCTCCGGTATCTCTCTGAAGTGCTTTTTTTTTTTTGCGGTGCAGGGACGAAAGATGAAAACAGCGTTTTCATGAGGGTCGCTCCAGGTCACTGTTTTCGTTTTCAAGGCCGCAAGACAAATTGGTCATTGTTAGTCCGCAGCTGGAGCCAAAATAGCGGCAGAACGCAGAAATCTTTGAGAGAGAAGAGGAACAGACAAGTCACGCCAAAAAAACAAATAACAGCTCTTCAAAAATGAAGATTTGTGAGTGTAAGAATTTCTTTAAACCTTTTTATCAGTTTTTTTTCTCCATTTATTGTTTACTGCACTTGGTTTAAAGGGCGTGATGTAAACAGCTTTGTCATCTGATGTAAAATGAGTAATAGGCGGCTCTCTGAAATGATGTGATAGTAGGTTTTGTCCAGACTAAACAATAAGAGAGAGTCACTATTTTCATTTGTACAAGGCGGATTCCTGATTCGATAATTTTACAAAAATTTCACTTCCAAAAGTCAGCAAGGCAGACATTCATTTTTACTCATTTTTTTTACATTTAACCGTTCCCATCATGCTTGCTTTCTCCACCTGGGGAGATAAACCTGTAGTGACGAAAATAATTATAAAAAAACGTTCTTTTTAGGCTATTGATTTGGCAGGATAATCCCCTTCAGACATTGAAATCCAACTTTTTTCATTGTGTACCTTTCGGTTCAGGTTATGAAAGAGGATGTTTTTAGTCTCTCAGGCTTTTTAAATCTAGTATTTTGCTTAAAAAGATTCAAGAAAAACCCTCACTGAAAAGACCTGTTAACAGCTAAAAGGTAAATACTATAATGTTGTTGACAGGTTAAACCAGCAAACAAAAGGCCTGTTTACATCTTCTGTGCCAAACATACAGTACATTGCAAGCCATTGTGCATACATGTACACAAACACTTTATAACAGTGATAATGCGTAATTCTTGGCAACAGTCCATTCAGCCTGGAATTGCACTCAGGAAGGTTAAAATACATTCTCTAAGGATATTAATCTAGGTGATGAGGATAGGACAGGGTAGTCACACCCTAGTCCTTTAAGACTTCCAGATCTTCTGCTTTTTTATGCTACCTGAACAAAACTGATTACCTGATTCATTTGACAACTTTAACATTTGTTGTGGGTTCTTATTCCAGTGAGGATTGTAGTCCTCCATGTTTTATGCATACTGGACCTGAAATGTACTTGGCATGTGTCAGACATCAACTAGAGTGAATTGTAGGCTTGAAAACTAAAGTTGTGCACGGGGGTGACACTCACTCTGCAGCGCTGTTTTCATCTCTCTTTTCTGTGTCACAGAAAAGCACTTCAGAGAGACACCGGAGAAGAAAAGCAAGGAGGAGATAAAAGGCTGCACTGGGGAACATATTTCTTTGTGGTGAAGAGGGAAGGGTGAACACAGCACTCCACTGCCCTAAAACGTGATTGCAACTTTTTTTTTTTTACCTTTGTGCCAAGTTCCATGTGTACTCCTTATGCAACAGAGCGAAATAAATTGTTCTCTAAAGTGTAATGTACCATACACTTTAGAAACCTTAGTAACCTTTTTTAACCTTTATTTAAAGGTTACATTAGTAACATTTATTTTCGGACACAAATAAATGCCACGGTGTTTTGATATGCTATGTAAAAGAAATGGCAAGGTGAAAAAAAAAAAGCATGGATGATTTGTTTAGAGCTAGGAGTGCCAGTAAGCTGGTAAAGAAATATGATTAGGCAAAGCCACTTCACCCTAGTAATTCAACAGGAGCTCATCTTGCTCTGCTGGCACAAGAGCACACCAGGAGTCGCAGCTAACACATCAAATGCCTAATAATGCAAATGTGTGGCTGTTCAATAATGTAAATGAGAGCTGCAATGGAATGTGGTTGTATAATGAGTTAAAGGCCAGTTTGCATCAGTCTGTATGTGATTAATTTTCCATGGTCTGCATGCTAATGAAACATTGTAAGGGCAACTACTCCACTGCTCCTCAACCTCTTGTTTGTTCAGTTGATTTAACTGAAATTGAAATCACATTTTTGGGTCTTGTTTTAAAGAGACCTTCAAGTCATGCCGCTTCCTGACCCTAATGAACTAGAGATGCACACTCCTGCCATAGACTGTACATACACTGTAGCACTACCCATACACTGTGACTCCATCTGGTCAGCAAAGACTAGTGGGAAAGGATAGAAATCTTAAATCCCACACACCTTTGTTTCTTGTAAGTACCCACCCCCTGTTTTCTTCACTCTGGGATTTAGAAATGATACGTTCTAAATGATTTCTGCTTCTGAGGTTGCTTTCCTAGAGAGCCATTGGTATTATCAGCCATTGGCATGAAAAACATTTTATCATGAGCAATAGAAATATGGATTGCTTATTACTAGCTTACAGGCAGATGGATAGCCTGTCCTTTAAAAAAAGAAGAAAGTGTGTGAATTCCTAGACCCTAGGCTGCAGTGGAAGTTTAGAGTCAAATCTCACTCAACACTGATATGTGATTGGGCCAGGTAAAGTGCTCCACACCATGAGGCTGTAAAGCTGCTGTATGATGTGCTGTATGATGTGATGTGCTTCTTTATTTCTTCAGACTGTCTGTTCCTGAAGATAAATAAAGGCCAACGCAATGCTTTGTCCTGCTGGGCTTGTACCTGGGCTGTGATGTCATAAGATGGCATTGGTCCTTCCTGACTTCCCTTCTGCTGCAACCAATGATAATCCTGGAATTCTCCAAGAAACCCAATCTGTACGAACAGGAATGTAACCATAGCAATTAAACATTACATTTTTTAAATTTAAAGTCATAGCATTCTTGAAAAGTGTAATGTTGGCAGTATTAGAGAATCAATTTAGCCCCCATTTCCACAAGACTACAGCTCTAAGTAAGACTCCATTCCTCCACAGTTTGTGGGAGTAATCCTGCAGTTTTCTTTCCACTCCACTGGCAATCTGATTGTTTTCATCCTTTGTGAGACTTTGATCACAGTATATCATTGATTGAACTGTGAACAACATCAGATGTGGTTCCGTATTTTTCCTGTAATGTCACAGTATGTGTAACGTACTTGTTTAGCTGTACGCACAGATGTGAGAAACATACAGTACTACTTAAAACTAAACTACAGCAGGACTGAAGCAGCTTAATTTTTGTAGAGTGTAATTATGAACTAACTGAGATTTTCCTGGAGACCTGGATTTTTGCAATTGCGTGTGTAAATTTCTCTTTTTTCATCATACTGCTTCGTAGGAGACGAACTTATATTACCATCACTGTCCAGCTATGTGCAATTTGGAAGAAAATTAATTTCCCTCATTACAAAACTGAACAAAAAAAATTTAATGGAATATTCCATTATTATCCTCATTATAGAACGTGTTACTTTCTAGCATAGTGGGGCAGTCTGATCTCAATTTCCCACTTGTAATTATTTGTGGTCTATGCCCGACACCTCTGTTCACCCGTGAGCTAATACAGCAGCCGACGCCGCATACACGCATATTTTAGGTCAAGGCCATTGGTGCCCCCTACTGGTACAATAGTGGAAAAAGATAGTTTTTCTGGTGAAGAGATGATCGGGAAACTACCGCGTCCACCTGTATTTTTATTTAAAAAGATAACTTGTTACTTTGGTAGAGGAGTCAGAACTGGTAACTCGTATAAAAATAGTTCTATGTTTTCGAGAGACATGCTGCGACGAGTTCATTTGTTTTTTTTTTACTATGAAGCATGTGTTTTAAATTCAAAATAAGGTCAATTTGTACATACAATTATGGAAATCCTGAAATTATGGAAAACCTACTTTATAAAATTAATCAGCCAAACAACCATTTATATCATTTATCGCCACAATGAAAAGTATCAGATTCCTTGCAGTGTTCCATTATGCTGTGTAGAAGATCCTTCTATGCTTTATGAAAAAAAATAACTTGAAAAATACATCTCAGCGATAAATTCAGGTATTATCTCACAGTTAAAGTGAAAACGGTTGATTTTGCTGTTAAATATCGCTGTTTGTGCTACATTTACTACATATTCGGCACCATAGAGAACCGGGTTTTGTGACTTATCCTCATAAGAAAAACACTAAGTTAAATACAGCGGCTTTCGTTAGGTAGTCTGAACAAGTCACGGTGCCAACACTGGGTTTCACAACGTTGAAGTGGTTGCAGTATTTAAAACCGGAATGAGACAGCTAGGATTCTGTTGGCTAGTTTAAACAAATGCAATTTTTTAAATAATAAATCACGTGTCTAAGCTGTTGCCATGGTCGCAAGCATGCTTGCTGACTTTTTTAAAAACTGTACAGAGCGTGAACATGCATTTCCGGGGTCCAATATAACTCTGGCCTTCATCGATAGTTGAATCGGTAAGAAAGCTAAAAAAAAACACCACCTCTGAACCAGCTTTAGTCCTCCTCCTTATTTCCACTACAATAATGAATGAAGTGTTTTAATGACAGCTGAAATCCATATTGTTACAGTAGAGAGAGGAGGAAGGAGGGGCGAGCTCCGCCTTGTTTTGGTTCAACATTGGAGCCGACCGACTTTATCTTGATAGGGGAAACTGATAATTCCAAAATAAAACCAGCACGAAAGAAACAACAACCCCCTTCACAAATAATGATAGTAGTGATGTGTCGACAAAGGCTGTATAAATATCTGTGTTTACACTGCCATTTATAAAAGGAAACAGGACAACTTGTTTCGCAGTGTGACCGGCGGGTCCCCGGCAAGTGCGCGGTGGTGTAGCCCAGTTTGAAGTTTGAGGCGGTGCGCCGGGCTGCTGCCTTACTCGCGGTGCGACTCGCTGGCCTGGGCTCCTGTGTTTTGACGCTTTGACATTCGGACAGCGCACCACCAACTAGGTAAGCGGGCTTACCTGCATTTCAGATACGATGTCGTTGTGAGATTTTTAAATGGATGGTGTCAAAAGAAGTGAATAATGGATGAAAAAAGTACTCTACTTTTTTATTTATTTTTCTCATGGCGTGTGATTATAATATAGAATGTTGCCTAATGAGTGCTGTATAAAGTCTTGTATGGTAACAGCTGTCACGTTCATCTGTATCATTGATGAAAAATGCTTCAGTTCACATTTAACTGCAAGCGTTTAGGAATGATTTCGCTTCGTACGTGTTGTTCAAATGCCTCGTAAACGTAAACATTTAAACGTTGACGTAACATTCAAAAGGCAGGTGGGTCGTTTTGGGGTTTTTTTCCCCGTCAGCTGGTTATGAGTTCTGAAACAAAAATGACATTTTCCGAACTGTGAAACACGTTGTTTCCTGCTCGCACGGATACCGTGCACGGCGCCGGTCCTGGGTTCACCTGCCGCCGGGTGAGTCGGCTCACCTGTGTCATAGACGAGCAGCGCAACATCGGGGCGTTTCATGCATACCTGGTTCCTACGGTCTCCCATCTTTTCTGGATCCATTTAAAGGGTCTTCAATAAAAACTGTGACCTTTGTGCGCCGCAGGGATGCCGAACATCACGGAGAAGCCGGCGGAGAGTGAAGAACTACCTTCAGACACACCGGACCTGGCGACACCGGATCCTCCCTGTGGTAAATTAATCATTAAGCTTGTCCCAGCAAGCAACGGGCGCAAGGCAGGATACCCCATGGACAGGACGCCAGTCCATTGTAGGACACAGGCAGACACAAACAAACACACTCTCACACCAGGGACAATTTCCCAGGAAGCCAATCAACTTACTAGTATATCTTTGCACTGTGGTAACCCATACAAGCTTCACACAGATTGGTCCAAAATTTAACCCAGGGCCCCAGTACTGTGAGACAGCAATGCTAACCACTGTGCCACTGGCATGCACAACATGAACACTCTGTGTTTAAAGTGTTGGATTTGGTGTATAGCTTAACATGTATTTAGATGTTGTCATCTGGACATTTGCCCATTAACCTCTGTGTAATAGCTCTGTTTCCTCTGACCCCCTGCCCCTCCCTGCAGCCAGCCCCCCCAGGCCGGCCCCTCTGGAGGAGGTGATGGAGATTGAGAGGAATGTGTCCAACCTCAGCATCGCCCACGAGATCGTGGTCAACAGGGACTTTTGCTTCAGGCAGAGCTGCCCGCCTCCGGACAGGTATGGACAGCGGGGGTGGCTTGGAGGTGAAACACAGGACGTGTGTGAAATCACAGAGGCCTTGTTACAGCAAGCACCCCCTCTCCCAAGAGAAACAAAGAAATGAATTGTCCTAGAGGTGCCTTCTGCGTCAGGCTAATGACTACAGGTTAGAGCACGGCTGTATAAACAGGCGCCGTCCTTCGGATGAGACGTAAAACCGAGGTCCTGACTCTCTGCGCTCATTAAAAATCCCAGGGCGTTCCTTGAAAAGAGTAGGGGTGTAACCCCAGTGTCCTGGCCAAATTTCCCATTGGCCCTTACCAATCATGGCCTCCTAATAATCCCCATCTCTGAATTGGCTACATTACTCTGCTCTCCTCCCCACTGATAGCTGATGTGTGGTGAGTGTACTGGTCACTATGGCTGCTGTCACATCATCCAGGTGGGGCTGCAGATTGATGGTGGTGCAGGGGAGTCCCCATTACCTGTAAAGCGCTTTGAGTGGAGTGTCCAGAAAAGTGCTATATAAGTGTAAGCAATTATTATTATTATGTATAAAACCCACAGGAAACTCAACCCTATCGGAGACTTTATTGTGCATTGCTTTGCAGTTTCCACATTTCCCTCTCGGTCTGTGTACTAATTTTCTTTGGACATGGATCATCCCACAGCTCTATGAATACAGCACATACAGCACCTTTAGAAGCCTGCCTGCCGATGCAGAAATGAGTCCTACAGGGTAAGGTGGCACCCAGGGGTGCAGTGAGGTGCAGGGGCTTCCTGTTGATTGGTAGAGAGGTACGTCCCTCAGTGACATCATCAGAGAGCTGCAGTGAGGTGCGGGGCTTCCTGTTGATTGGTAGAGAGGTACATCCCTCAGTGACGTCATCAGAGAGCTGCAGTGAGGTGCAGGGCTTCCTGTTGATTGGTAGAGAGGTACGTCCCTCAGTGACATCATCAGAGAGCTGCAGTGAGGTGCAGGGGCTTCCTGTTGATTGGTAGAGAGGTACGTCCCTCAGTAACATCATCACAGAGCTGCAGGGCACGGGGGTCCCCGTCTGGCTCGGAGCCCCTCTCTGTGCCCAGGACGAGGGGTCCCAAGAGCTCAGATGAGTTTAAAATTTCCTCTGCAAGGCCCTGTATTTTAATTCCTGGTCATTCCTCTGCTTTGTAACCTGTCAATCCATCTTGCGCCGTTCGTTTGGTTGCTAGAAGTAGACGCTAACTAATCTGAAGTCTCCCAGCTTTTCTCCGAAAGAAGTCAGGGTATCTGCTTCAGATCGTTATAACTGAAGATTGCTATTGCTATCGCTAGCGTAACCGCCTACTGTACGAAGAATGGATGAACATTCGGAGTAGATTTTATTAGTAAGTGTGTCTATTTTACATGTCCCTATTCTTGTTGCAGTTGCCTTTCAACGTCTGCACATTGAAGACCATGCACACAATATTAAGAGCCTCGGTAACATTCATGGCGCTCTCGTGCAGGAAAGATAAATGATAATTAAGAAAATGAATTAAATAAGTGAATGTGCTTGTGTTTCTCCAGCTTAGAGGGCAGAGTGAAGGAGATGATGCACAAAGCGTTTTGGGACAGCCTGCAGGCTCAGCTGTCCCTCAATCCTCCAGATTACACCCAGGCTATCCGGCTCCTGCAGGAGGTCAAAGAGGTGAGGCTCCCGGTTGGCCACCAGGGCGGCGCTGCTCCTGCGTGTCTCACAAGTTCTGCTTTGAATTGTTTCTCTCATGTAGATCTTTTCGGATGGGTTCGGGAATCCTGGCTTTCAGGAGCCTGTCTTGCTCAGTTCCCCTCTTCCTTTATCTCCTTTTCTGTCTCTCAGCCTCTCCCCCGTATCGAAATCTCTGGGTCGTTCCGTTTCTGCCTCCGTCCCCCTCCCCTTGCCTCGATCCCAGTTTTCCTCGCCCCTGACGCCTCTCCCCTGCCCTCAGGCGCTGCTGTCGCTCCTCCTGCCCGGCCACACGCGGCTGCGGGCGCAGGTGGGTGAGGCCCTGGACCTGGCTCTGATCCGGCAGCAGGCGGAACACGGCGCCCTGGACCTGCAGCGGCTGGGCGGCTTTGTCATCGCCACCATGGCCGCACTGTGTGCCCCCGCGCGCGACGGCGAGATCCGCCGGCTCCGGGAGCTGTCGGAGCCCGTGCCTCTGCTCAGGTGAGTGGGACGGCCCAGCGTCAGGGTTTGCCATGGAGTGAGGCTAGGCTGCAGGGAGTCTGCTTCTGCCGGTTGGTCTTCTGTATTTTACGAGCTTTGTTTTGAACACATTTCCATCAGGAGCTGTCCTTGTCATTCATTTCATGAAAATCACCACTTTGCAGAGGGTTGGTATCTGTTAATAATAAATAATATTTTTTTTTATGTAGCACTTTTCTGGACACTCCACTCAAAGCGCTTTACAGGTAATGGGGACTCCCCTCCACCACCACCAGTGTGCAGCCCCACCTGGATGATGTTACGGCAGCCATAGTGACCAGTACCCTCACCACACACCACCACACGCTATCAGTGGGGAGGAGACAGAGTAATGAAGCCAGTTCAGAGATTATTTGGAGGCCATGATTGGTAAAGGGAAATGGGAAATTTGGCCAGAATGACGGGTTAACACCTCTACTCATTTTGAGAAACACCCTGGGATTTTTAATGACCACAGAGGGTCAGGACCTCAGTTTTACTAAGCAACCTTAGTTTTTCCCAGGAGGTCTCCCATCCAGGTACTGACCAGGCTCACACCTGCTGAGCTTCAGTGGGCTGCCAGTTGAGAGTTACAGGGTGATATGGCTGCTGGCGAGATCTTCGCCATACTTGGCATTGGCATACAGAGGTACAACAGAGCTGGAGAAATTGCCCCACCTGGGGCAGCCTCTATCGCTTACATTTTAATGTAGATGAAGACTGTGGTGCTGCATAAGGATGCTAACAGAAAGCTGAAGAGAAGTTCCTCTCGCTCGTGACAGCATGGCGGCCGTACTGACCAGCGCCGGTGAGTCGCGGCGTGGTTGGAGGCGCCGCCTGTTGCGGGTCTGGGTGGCGTGCCGACTGAGAGCTCTCCTCTCTGTGCCCTGCTCAGGGAGATCCTACGCGTGCTGGGCCTGATGAAGATGGACGCGGTCAACTTCACCGTGCAGGCCCTGCGGCCCCACCTCCTGCAGCAGGCCGTCCAGTACGAGCGCGCCAAGTTCCAGGAGATCCTGGACAAGCGGTCAGGTGAGGAGACACGATCACTAGTGCGCGGGGCTGGAGAACCATCTAAAGCAGAGAACTCCAGCCCTGGCGCTCAGAGTGTGTAGGTCACTTTGAAATGACCACTTCTTGATCTTGTGATTAATTAAGTAATTTAGACATCTCACTGAGACTAAAATCTATGTACTCCTCAGATGTCTTCTAATTGAACAGATTACACGCTCAATTCATCATTAGCTTAAAGACTAATGGGACTGGAGCTCTCCAGGACCAGGGCAGGAAACCCAGGGTTTTGGTTAGATTTATCTTTATCACCAAAACAGCTCAGTGGAGTTATACCAAGGACAGCCTGTGTGTCATTTGCTGAAATAGTGTGGCATCTTTTCTGAAACGCCTCTTCCACATTTCTTTGAACAAGTTTCAGGTAATTAGTTCTTTCCTCGGCCACCAGGGGGCATTGCGATGCCGTTTGTAATTTGTATTCTGCTCCCAACTCTTACTGTGAATAGAAATGATGCATTATAAATTAATTGGAATGGAAAGGAAAGGTTGTTGGAAATTCATTTTTTAATAGAGGTTGTTCAAAATGAAAAGAAATCTCCTAATGAGCCATTAACTAGTTATCATCAGGCACATATCTGTTATTATGGAGACTGTGTGTTTTAAAGATTGCCTGATGTACAGTTCTAACAGGTGACTAAGTAGCTTCAATTGATACTTTAATTGATACTAGTGATGGAACATGCCCATTTATGCACAAGCATTCTCAAACAACTATATTTTAGGGACATTTAAAAAAAAATCAATGTTTTTTCATTTTATCCTGTCCATTGCACTCCAGGGGATATCACATACTAAAAGCCACTGAAAGTGCAACAACAGAAATAGGATACCTCTTTTTTTTCTGTTTTTGGAAATTAAATAATGAAGATTTTTTTTTAAATCAGCAACTAAAAGAATTTCTGTCCTATGCTGAAAGATCTAAAGTAAGGTCAATCAACTCCAAGGACAGTAGCAGTTTTTGCAGCTCAGCTGTCACAGATAAACACCAAGACAGGTCCCAGACTAAGCTATCACACTGTCCACGCTTGGCAGCTCTGGTAAAATACAGTACACCACTGGATGTAATGAGTCTGCTGCCATTCAGGGCTAAATTGGTAAGATATTTTCTTCTCTCTCCCCGAGAATGAGGTCTGTGCAGCCTGCCGTAACATCACATTCATAAGAATGTCATGATAATAATCTTCTATGGAATATACTCTTATTTAGCCTCTAAGAATCTGTAAGAAAAGTCTTATACAGGCTAGATGAAACCTCACTCAGAGGAAGCATGACTTATTTTTGTCCTGCTCAAGGTGGAAGGTCTTTTGCTTCTGTAGAAAGAGAGGCAGTTGTTTGTGTTGTAACTCCAGTGGTGTGACAGATGTTCGGGAAGCATGTATTGGTCTCCCAGCTGTTGAAAGGGACAGGGTGTGTCTGAGAGGCTTTGCTCTAGTTTGCCGGTCAGTGCCAGTGTCCTGCTGGCGTGAGGGTTTCAGCTGGCACGTGTGCTTTCAAGATGCCCTGGACAACACCACCGCCTGGCTGCAGAGGGCAGTGAAAGAGGTGTCCACTGCCTGTGTTCCTCCCGACTCTGGTGCCCCGAGTCCAGGCCAGACTCCCGCGCCCCGAGAGGAGGGCTCCCCTTGCAGCCCCAGCGCCGTGCTCAACCAGGCCTACCTGCACCTGCTGTGTTGGGACCCCGAGTGCCCGCTGTACCCTGAGGTAGGCCACAGAGACGCTACAAAGGGCAGAGGAAGTGGACCTCAGACATACCGGAACACACTGCCCTTGTCTTACTAGCACAGCTGTCAAGTGAGCGTCTGTGTCAGACCCTGCACGACACACAAGGCTGCTGTTTTTGTGCTGGCTCTGTTTTGTGCTTGGTGTTGTGTTGTCTACGTAAAATATGTTTCTGTGTCTCAATACAGCTTATTTTTTCATAGCAGGGACAGAGTGACTCATCTGTTTTTCTTCATTCAGCTGTTGAAAGTCCACTATGTTTCTGAAAGCCCTGCAGTCCCACAGCAATAAAGGCAAAAAGTACTTGTGAAAATAGAAACCTTAAAGTCCACTTCTTAATACAAGCGTCTTCAAAGAGATGCCTTCAGGGCCTTCTTTCGATTAGATACAAAGCTGAGCAGGAATGTAATATGAGGCAGTAAAAAAATGATAAAATGATTGGAAATTTGTAAATTCTTTCTGTGGTGGGTCCCTGTGGAACAGCCGTGCTATTTTAGCTGTGAAAGATTCTACTCAGGGATACAATGATCCTGTTAGCATGGGATTTTTGTTGGCATTTGCCGTTGTTAGTGCCACTCTTGGAAGATCCAAATCCATTTTGGAACGGCCGGAAACAATGGCTGGGTGTTGCGTTATGGGGGATGACGTCGGACGAGACGAGGCTCCTCCCCGAAGCGACTCGGCCAGTCCAGGCCCTCGCTCGCAGCTGAGCGTGGCCATCACGTCCAGGGCTGGGGCCTGGCCTGCGCTGTCCGAACTGGCGGAGCACCGCTCACTCTGGCCGGGTCTGGGGCAGCTGTGCTTGGAACCAGTGACCCCCGTGAAGCGAGGGGTGCCCCCGAGCCCGCGGCGCTGTCAGCGAGACGCCCCCGGCAGGCACTGGGGCTCACAACATGAGATTCGCGGGACGGCCCTTCTGTACAATCCAGAGGGCAGCAGCCCTCCTACATGTTGTCGTCGTAGGCAGCTGGGTTGATTAACAAGCGACGATTCCAAATAGGCAGAGTGAAGCAAGAAATTCTAACTAAAAGAAATGTTGAATCTACAAGTAAAAGAGCCTGACTACACCACAAATACAGAGCAAAGCACCGGGTCAAGGTGCCTTTATTCTTCTCTCTTCTGTTTCTCTCTTCCTCCAGACAGTTCTGATGGACCGATCCCGTCTGGACGGGCTGCAGCGCCAAGTGGACCAGCTGACCGTGATGGCAGCGGTTCTGCTGGTGACCAGCAGCCAGTGCGGTGGTGCCGTGTGCTCCGGGCCCGGGTTTGTAGATAAACTCAAGGAGGTCATGGCTGCCCTGCTGGAGGGCAGTCACAGCAGGTAGGTGAACCATACTGTGTGCTCGCTGGAAGAGGACGAGGATGAGAACCTTTTCTTCCAGCCGTACAGGTAAACTACGGCGTGGAAAAGGAAGCACTGTTGAACAGGGTTCTTATCATGTTAGCTGGCCTATTTAAACATTTGTGTCACGAGAGCCGTGTTCTGGTGAACAGGAAGCTTGGGACACTTGCAGCTGGGACTGTGGGAATCAGTACACACTAGAGGAAACTGCACCAGCATAGTTTCGCCTCCATTTGCACCCAGTGATGACCTCCTTGCATGGAAGGAGACGTAAAACAGCTGCAGAGTCATACGGGCTGAGTGAACAAGACCGCAGGGTTTAAAAGAATCCCGTCGCAGGAATCCATAGTAGCTAGGCCTGGCAGTGCAGGGCCTGACATGGACGCTCACACAGAAGGCTGGTTCTAATACCATGAGCGTGTAAGTTTTGAAAGGTGGGTGCACAGTGTATAGGGCTGCTGGACTCAGACTGTGAGGTTACACATACTCTAAGGTACAGATGACTACAATAAGACACTTTATAGATTTATTCAGTGAATGTGAGACAGTGGGGGATGAAGGGTACACACAGTGTATATTGTTTGTAACGCTGGTAAAAGTTGCCTTTTGTTGACCACACTCACTTATGTTAAAGTGAGGACACTTTGAAGCTCATGTTAGTTTAAGAAACAGCATATATTTTAAAGGGGTATTAAACCAAAAATATGATTAAGAGTGTGGGGTAATTCTAACTGTAATTTTAATTACTGGATAATAATAGACACCAATAGACAAACGAAATTTAAGAAGAGGCTAAATGTAATTTGTAATACTAGTAGGCTATCAGAAGAAGTGGTCTTTCCCTCTACCCAGCTGACAGAAATGGATTATGTAGTTGAAATGCAGAGCTCTACAGAATTTTCTGAGATTCCAGACAAATCGCAGGATGTCAGGGACTGTAGTTCTAATGGTCTTTGTGTGGTGCACCTAGGTCATTTAACCTGCAGGAGGCGCTGCTGGGGGTGGGCGAGCAGGTGCAGCGGCTGGTGAACCAGGGGCTGCGTGCCCAGGGGGGCCCGGCCATGGACCGCGACCAGGAGGCCGTCCTGCGAGGCCAGATCAGAGACATCGCGAAGACGGACAATCCTGTTCGCACTCTCCTAGGTCAGACTCAGCTGATCCCTGGGCCAAATTATTATTTGACCTGTCTGTTACTAGTTGTCGATCATAATTTATAATTCAGAAATAATGAATGAATCATAAATCATAAATAATTTATGATTCAGGCAATTCAGGCAGCACAGTCGTGCAGTGGTCAGCATATTTGCCTCACAGTACTGGGGTCCTGGTTTGAGCAATGGCGCTGGGGTGCTATCTGTGTGGAGTTTGTATGTTCTTCCTATGCTTGCGTGGGTTTCCTTCTGGTGCTCTGGTTTCCTCCTGCTGTGCAAAGACTTACATACAGGTTAGCAAGCTTCTGTTCCTTGATCCTTGTCTGAATGTGTGCGTGTCTGTTTGTGTCTGTCTGCGCTGTGATGGGCTGGTGTCCTGTCCAGGGTGTATCCTGCCTTGCACCTGTTGCTTGCTGGGAGAGCCTTAAGAGTAACCCATGACAGGAGAGGTTACTGCTATACAGTCACATTTTTCTCCTGACTACACTGTTGACCTTGTTCCCTCTGACTGCCTTACAGCGTCTCGTATCCAGAGCTTCCTGCGGACGTTCCTGGGCTCCCCAGCAGGCCAGAGGGGTCCCATGGTGCCCCCTGCAGGGCTGGCCTCAGTGGGCGCGGAGCTGACGGAGATCGGAGCAGCGTTCGGCCGCATTACTCACCACAACCGCCTGGTCTTCGGGCCCTTCTACTCCGCCATCCTGAAGAAGGCGCTGTTTCCCGAAGGGGAATGTGATACGGGCATTGATTCCCGCTAGGGTCCCGGAGAGGGCCAGGGCTCGGGGCTGGGGCTCACGGCTGGGACAGGGCAGGTTGTTCTGGATCACCGTCAAGGCGCTTTCGCAATCCTGCCTTGTATGGGCTGCTTCTCCCTTTTACTCGGAGCCATTTGGCATTGTACTATATAAAGTATGTTATAAGGAACACTTCCTTGTACTTGTGGGCTCTGGTTTTAGGGTAAATATAGGTTTGTTTGTTTTTTTCAAAAAGTCAGACTGATTTTTTTTTTCCCATGATAAGTCTGACAGAAAAAAAAAAGTTGACATCATGTAAAAACAACAAAGAAAAAAAAAAGGGACATTCGGGCAGCAATCAAGAATCATGCTGTAGTCTCTTTTACAGCATTTTTATTCTTGTAACAGAGCTGAGCCTATTAGCTGCCTAAACAGAGTGGAAAACTGCAGCAACATCAGCTGGTTTTGACTCTCAAAGACAAGGGCTCGCCTGCTGCATTTTTAAATCCCCCAGATCAAGCGCAAAGATCCGAACCACGGAGTGTAAGTGTTGTGGCTCCTGCGCTTCTCTGAAACTGAACAATCTAGAGAAATATTGGAATGGGAGTTGCCATTTTTTAAAAAGAGTAGAGTGGGCTGGAACTTGAGCTTTCATTTTCTGTCACGCTCTGCCGAGTAAAATCGGGCTCTCTGTTGAAATATTCATGCCCCCAGTGAAGGCAGCGGGCTGCCGTGTAGATAAATCTGAGCAGTTCCAAAGCAGGCAATGCTTTCATCTGATTTGAGGATCTTTAAATATACACCTAGCATGACTCTACACCTTAAACCAGCCCAGAGACCATACTGAGCAAACAGGCATTCAGAGCATTAAAACAGTCACTTCCACCCCATCCCCCAGTTGTCCCCAAGGTCAGTTGTGTGCTGCATTTATCCTTTTACTGGAGTAACAGATGACATGAATTGGTAACGTGTATAAGCAATGTACAGTACAGATGCTGGTTTTAGTAATCAACGTGGACTGTTCTGTGGGCACTGGTGTGCATGTGTGATATTGAATAAGCTAGAGAGAACTGCTGTGAAACTGCTACGCTGAGATGATTTTATAGGCTGGATACCTCTTTTCTTCCAAAGAGTTTGTAAATACAGAGCTTGTTCAGCTGGAATAAAATGAGTGTATTTTATGATTTTTAACTCCTTTAGCCTCGTTTTTGATACATATGCTTAAACAAAATGTTTAAACTAAATCTTCAATGTGTGTCAGCGCCGACACACATTTTCAATGTCCGCTTTGCTCTCTCGGTGATGTTGTATTGGCTGAGTGACGCATTCAGTGAACTAGCTACTAGCGCGTTGCATTCGAGAAACAGTTCAAACCGAATTTAAACAAAGGTCCAGTGCAACTGGGAGACACATCAGGAACCATGGACAGATCTAGTGCTGAACTTTCACGACGGCTGCCTGTGTTCAATAACAAGTAATCACAGCTGCAGGGCTTCTAAGTGAATCATCTCCTTAAAATCAAAGTCTATTTGATTACTTCTGAGTTGCTCTGGCAGTGAGGGTGTAGATCAGGCCCTGTGGCCAGGATGCACTGTTACGAAGCGTCTTTCAGGACCCTATGCAGACTCCGGAAGGGAGTGAACACACACAGGAGGGAGACGAGGAACTGGGCTGGTAGAGGAACGGGGAGGGGGCATGACGAAGGTGCTGCAGGGTACGTGGTCCAGGCAAACAGTCCAAAAGGGAGTCCAAAGGGAAGTCCACTACAGGTGAAGGTCCAGAGCCGGGTGATAAATCCAAGACGAACAAAACAAAGTTAAAAGCCAGAGCGGAATCCTGGCGAGGGGTTGTAGACAGACATGACAAAGTTAGAAACCGGAGCGGGATCCGGCGAAGGGTCGGGGAGAAGAAAGGGGGAACGGAACTAGGTGCTCCAGGTCCTGGACTCGGCTGGTTCGGGACACCTAGGAGGCGAATGCCACCCGAGCCGCGGATGTAGGGCGACTCGGTGATTGGCGAGCCTCCGGGCGTCCGTGTTCCAATGCAGAGCCCAGAACAGAGTGAGAGCCTGGCTTTTGTAGGGAGGCTGGAACAGGGAGCAGGTGCACAAAATCAACTAAAAAGTGAATGAGCTGGAGCGACCTTAAGGGGGAGGGACTACATACGTGACATGCACTGTGTGATGGTGCACGATTCACCGAGCACCACTAAGGCTACAACAGCTTGAGCCAGGATGGTTACCCTCCACTTTGGCTGCTGGAAAGTGACTCCCCGAATGGAGACATACTGTAGCTTCTCTGGTCATGCAGCCTGCAGTATGTCAAGTGGCAAGTGACCAAAGCTGTGGGCATGCTGGAGGATGCATGCACAGTTCTCATCTGTCCTGTTTTGGCATAAGGCTGTGTAGAGTAATGCTGATTGCTTATTGGCAATGATGCCAAAACTAAAACTAAAGAAAGAAATCAATTCTGGTCTTGCAGGCAAGATGTGTCCAACATCCTTGACTCTGCCATACTGTAAGAAAACATTTTGAAAGGAATTTTGTAAGTCAACGAGCTGAATTGTGCTCAATAATCCAATAAGACCCCCATGTACTCTTTCCATGTGACCACAGGATTGGACTGCAGTATTCACTGGACATTGGGTCTTATCACCTTAGTAAAAAGACTTACTGTACAGATGTTCTGGAGAATGGCAGTGAAGTTGGGTTACTGAGCACTGAGCCAGACTTTTCCATACCAATCGCTCTTCACGGCTGTCAGGATGAGGGAATAATTTAGGCATTATGACAGCAAGACTAATAAATTACTTAATGCAGTAAGGCTATAATTCAACTGTTGCATGCAGCCATCTTAAATCTGTACCGTCAAGCTGAAGTACCTTCCTTTCATCTACAACCACCACCCCACAGACACTGTTGCTGATGTCCTCACGTTATAGTCCTTCCATTTCCATGTCTACACTCTGAAGTGAAAGGGGAGTAACATAACGCAGGAGATCCAGATATCAGATTTGACAGAGCAACGTTTTTTTCCTTGTCTATGGAACGTCTGAGAAGCCAAATCGGAGAAGATGAGTCAGAGAAAGACAGTCAGAGGAAGCCAATCGATTTAGGCTTATGTGTCATGAAAGGAAATAATAATCGGTTTATGACAGAACAAAAGCGGAAAAAAATGAATTAGTGCCACATTAGCAGATTGGGCCTAGGATTTAAAAAACAATTACAATTCCTGTCCGGCAGTAAGTTGTTCGCTCTTTATAATCAAGATTTTGAAAACCAGATACCCTGGTCAGTGCGTTCAGTGCCTTGTCCCCTATGAAAGCGCACTGGTGTTGCAAAAGATCCCAGGTATTTCAGCTTGATGCAAACGCTAAACTTACACTCAAAAAAAGAAAACATCTTTAATTTGGACATTTTTGTATCATTATATAAAGAACTTTAAAAAAACCCAAGCAGGACAGCGCTGCTAACGTCCCATTTCAAAAGCTAGTGTGAACCCCACCTAGATCAACGAGCCCCAAGGCGTGAGGCTGGCAATGCTCCGTCTAATTTTGAATGGCCTGTGTGCGCAAAAAGTTGTTTTTTTTTGTTGTGCAAATTCCCCCCCCCCCCCCCCCGTGACTAAAACTTGTGCGCACTAAATTGAGTGTATGTAAAATTGTAAATCTGAAATTGTTTTTCTTTTAATTCTCATAGAAGCATAGAGATCCAAAAGAATGGGACAGCAATTCAACGAGCCCAGTTATAGAGACAGAGTGTCGATCATGAGCAGTGAGGTATGAGTCTACGAGAGCATAGATATCGATTATCGAGTAGCAATAATAATGCACACAGTCAAGTTGGGCCTCTCACAGCCAGTCTCATGTGGTCAATTTAGAATTTTTCAATTGACAACCGTGTTTGTTTTATCATCATCATTTCGTTTTGGAATATTATTTTTTTGTGCGCCGTTTACTTTTCCATGTGCGCTGATTTCATAACGCGCACATCTTAGAGGGAACACTGGCGGCTGGCTATCTGAAGGAGACTGAGCCTCTTCAGTCAAGCAACAGGCACTCGGAGACACGGCTCACCTGTCCCCCCAGAACAGGAGCAATGCCACGGTCACCTTGGAAACAAGGTGTCGGTTTCAAAACGCTCTCCACGGCAAGGAATGAGGTCCGGTCAGCGCGCAGACACGAAGTCTCTAAAAATATCCAGTTTCCGAGCGCAGGCAGCCGGAAAACAAAACTACTTCGGTGCCACCGAAGAACTCCCACTGCAGCACTTAACGATTTGACCGGTGCAACGCGATACGAGCCGCAATTGCGCCGGTGGAATATGAAATGAAGTCAGCCATGGTGCTCTGTGGTGCCTGTGTTTCACAGGGCAAATGAGGACACAGAGAGTCGTGTGTGAGCTGGTCGACACTCAATCTCGGGGGTTGTCCCAAGTGCTTCAGTTTGAGGGTGCTCTCATTTGAACTGCAGTCCATGGCTGTTCAAACGTCACCTGCGTGGCGTCTGTTGACTGCAGCTGGGGCACACAACCGTTCAAGTGTCAGGGCTGGACAGGCTTGACGTGAGCAGCCTGTGCTCAGCTGTTATCCTTTTATCAGTGCACATTCCTCAGCCCATGAGCTGCTCCGGGGCTCCTGGCCAGAAGTACGATGAACGGGTGACCCAAGACTGGGCTGCTGGGACCCCCATGCTGACAAAAACAGAGGAGGAAAGGGGCTGACGTAGAGTGCCGTTTTTCAAACGACCTCAGGAATGATCGTGATTTAGGAAACCTGAGGCCGATTAAACTCGGCTACTGTCTTCCCTCCTGAACCTTCGTCGTAAACTCCATTTTGAGCAGGAATCCGGAGGCTCTGATGTGAATAAACCAGTTAAAAGAGACAATACACTTGTTCCCAGTCTGAGCTCTGTGGCCAGGTTTCCTCCTGCGTAATACAAATCCGGAGGGGCACCGGTTCTTCCTCACAACGAGGTGGAGGGGTCGGCGCGGTGATCCAGGCCCAAGAAACGACGGGCAATTCCGAAGTGCATGGTTATAAAATGGAAAACAAAAGTTAAAATCGTAATTCAAGACAAATCAACACTGCGAAGTGACCATTCTGCCAAAGCTGCTTGTGTGGTTAAAAAAATCCAGAAATACACAGCTAAGCCTGTGTTATACAAGCCACTATGCCAGAGATTCTGCCTCTACAAGTACGTAAGAAATGTAATGCAAATGGCTTTTACTAACATTTCACCTAGACAGAAATGAAAAAAAATATCACTGGAGTTTAAAATTCTCCGTAAATAATAGAATTTAAATGCCTTTGCATCTAAGGACCAGTACTAGGTTTTGTTGCTAAGATGATATTTGGGAAATGGGGGGGTTACAGATACTACTTTTTGGGTTTCCAGTAGGGAGAAACCCTTTCAACTGTTGCTTTCAGCGCTATATACTGTACAGTACATGTCAATAGCACGAGGCCTGTCAATGTACTGAATCCTTCTAGTAGAGGTCCAACAGTGTCCACAGGAAGGGGGCAACAGGCACCCTGGATCTCACTGCCCCCCTCCCGGCGATGGAAAACGCCTCTCAGAACTGAGAGGAGAGCCTAGTGGATCAGCCAGCCTGCTGAACGAGGAGCAGGGATACCGTGCTGAAACCGTAAACCAGCATTATCTACCCGAAAGCGGTCTCATCCAGGATTGATCATGATTCCTGGAAACCGGATTCCCGGCCATTAGCGAGCATCTCGTTTTAGAATACCCACAGCCCTCCGCTCCCCATCGCCATCTCCATTTACCCGACGCCGAAACGGCAGGACAAGACAGACGACTGCAAGTTTCACAGCAGTTCTCCACACAAGAAGTGGTTTGCGGAATCACGAATCAGCTCTAATAATGGGTACAGAGAAATGCGCTATGTTGTGTTCACTACAAGCCTCAAAATCGGTGAGGGATTGTAGGCACAGCTCTGAGGCCACAGGCAGTGCTGATGAGCCTTTGTTTGCCTGCTCAACCAGGAGACTGGTGTGCTTGAAGAAAATAAGGAAGATCAGAGATTAGAGGAGGCCATTCAGCCCATGCATTTGGTTGCTAGTAGCTACATCAGAATCCACATCTTTGAAAGGAATTAAGATCATTGATCCAGATCACCATGTTACTCCGATAACAACATGCCTTTCAGCCCCCACTGTACCCTGTTTTTTCTTAATTTGTTTCAGCAACTGCAGTCTAGAGGTTATTTTTGCACCTCCTGATCGATTGTAAAAACATCAGTCAATGGGGTTAATCAATACCTTCCTCCTGCTGGAGCAGGCGATTCTGCAGACTCGCTGCAGCTCCTACCCATCTCTAGGATCCAGGATGTGTGGGTCTCCTGAGGGCCTCCTGCCCACTGGTCCACAGGCCTGGGCAAATTCCCTCTCATGCCCCCGGATACATGGGAGCAGATTGAGAGACCATAGGACAGTAACACAGCCTGGACAGTTATATATATTGTGAGGCCAATAGTGTGGTTGTGTAGTGTGTAGGATTCAATCCACCAGCTCTCAAACCCCCCCCCCCACCGAGGCGTACAGCCTCGACAGAGCTGGCCGCCAGCACCTGGAGCTCTGGGGAGGCCCGAAGACAGACATCTCTGCAATAACGAAGCAGGAGACAAAATCGCAAAACTCAGTTTCACTTCTTGCCGTTTGTGATAAAGAAGAGACGTTTTTAAGTAATTATCCGAGCCTTTAACATTACAAACATGTTGAGTTCAACCGAGTTCAGTCCCTTTTACTCCTGTCTCTGATTGTGTCAACTGGCAGACCTGCCTTCTCACTCTTTTGGTGTGCGTTCCCAGCGTTAACAGCGTTATCTTGAGACATATCCTTCCACCCATTTTCTCACTGATCTATCCAGTAGAGGGTCACAGGGCAGCCAGAGCCTACCCCAGCAAGAGATGGGTGTGAGGATGGACAATGGATGCCAGTTCATCGCAGGGCAGAGACAGATACAGACAGACCCAAACACACACTCACATCATCTTGAGTCTTTTTACAGTTACAATTGTAACAGTTTTAAAACAAAAGCCATAGTTTCCATTCAAGCTCATATGTTTTCTAAGGAAGTGATGAATTTGAGGATCTCATCCTGAGACTTCTTGAAAGAGATCAAGCTTCAACAATGGGCAGCTCGTGACAGACTCCCACAACCCTTTGTGTAAAGAACTTTCTCCTGTTAAAGGAATCTCAACTGCACTTCATCTTAGCTCCCACTTCTTTCTGGCTGTGCTTCACAGTCTTGAATGAAAACCAAGACTGACTTGGTAAATACCTTATGTTTAAATTTACCCTGTTAAAGGCAACAAAATGATGATGAATTTTTCGCTTCGCCACCTGGACACCAGAAGGCCCTACGCTTCAAGGCTGGATAATCCTAGATCTGAAGAACTGGGGGAACTTTTGGCATGAAACAAATCAAATGCAATCAGCTATTATTTTAAAAAATGCAACCACAAAATTTTAAGTTACAAGTTTGTTCTTTTATTAGTTGTACAATTATGAAAAAATAATAAAAAAAAAACAAAGACTGGAAGCCCAAGAGTATTTACAATCGTTTTAGTTTTCTGTAGTGAGGTCCGTCTGAGTTTTCTCAGTCTGCTCCTGCCTGTCTCCTACCGCAAAACAGCAGGTATCGGTACCATGATATGTTGAATTTCTTTACACATTGTTCTTTTTTTTTAGTCTAGACAAAGGTGACAAAGATTAACGTTACATACATATACATTTATAAAAAGAGTGGAATCATTCAAGTATCAAAATACAGACAACTAAGGATTTCTTTATGTTCCATTAGAATTATTTTCATTGCCCTCAGTAACAATATTACAGATTAGTTCCTCTTAACTACCCATTATCACAATTAGCAGATGTGCAAACGCCAAAACTGAACTAGGCTGATGAACTGAAGGTTTGACTCATCCTTAAGAAACGTGGTGAAGCTAACAGTCCTAAAACTTTAAAAAAATAAAAAATATTGAAGTAAATGACTGAATGTCATAGTAACCACGGCAACATTCAGTACAGGTTTAACAGTCCTCAGGCCTAAGAGTCTCATAGGATTTATTTCTTAATGAGGACTGTCCAGTCCTCATTAAGAAATAAATCCTATGAGACTGCAAGAGGGCAGTTTTAAACTATTATGGGAAAAAAAATGTCTGCTTTAGTAGCTTATTGGCCTTGAATTTTGTTATCGACAGCAGTTAAAAATCTTTTCCCCTCTGTGTCATGTTAGCATCAAGTTCAACACCAGCCTGGCTCAGTTTAAGCGCTGGAACAGTTAAATAAAAAAAAACAATAACAAAACGAACTTTCTTAAATTAAAAGCAAATTCATTCGAATACATTTTAATAGTATTTTTTTAAATTAAATCCTCATTTGATGTAGTGTCAAACTGGCACCCACGACCTTCTTTCACAGGTCCCAGACCTACATCGTGTTAAAAACCCGTCGCAGAGTGTCGACAGCAGAGTGGCTCAGTGCTTAAAGGAGAGGGAGGATTTCTGTCACCACATGTACCATACGCTATCCACTCACTTCTCTCTCGCGGCCAACAGTACCCTTTAATGTAAACAACCTGCTGCTATAGCAACTCCAGCTCCAGCTACAGCCAGTCTGCAGTAAACTCTCCCCTCTGGAGCAAATCAGTTAGTGTCACAGCAGGGCACCATGTCCAGCTATTCACAGTGCCACAAGCAACCTTAAATCCACTCTTGTCATGTGTTTTTTTACAAAAAAAAAGACTTCCTTGTTAGTGTGGGATGGGAAGTTTTCTGAAACGCAATTCTTTTGGGCTACAGCTGAGGACAAAGAGGTCCCAAGGCCCCTGCCAATCAACTCAGTTGGCCTCTTCTGGATGAAACCTGGTGGGTCTGTCAGCACACAGAGGGGCCTGACATTACACAATGCAACAGACACCCACACCTCCACAAGAGAATTAGGAAATATGTCCAAACACAGAGCTGGCAAGAGCTTGAGGAGGGAACCCTACAGGAAGACAAGATGGGTCTTACCACTTGGAAAGGCCTCATACACCGTAGTAAGTCTACTTGGAGATAAAAAAATGAACGTATGCAGCATACTTTGGCACGTAACTCAGCTAAATAATGGAAGATTGTTGAAGCAGCAGGACAAACCTTTGCTATGCTAGTATAATCCTAATCCTCGCTCCGGTAGACACATTCAAACAAAAATAAAATTACAACCAATTCACTTTGCAAGAAACAACAATGCCCTGAAGATTCAGAGACTCTGCAGCATGAAGCGGTCTCGGCGTAGCTAAAGATTTCCGCAGAAGCACCCAGCTCAGGAACCATGAAGACACAGATTCCCAGGACCCTCTAACCGAGTGACAGCACTGACCCCTACAGGGCAAAGGAGGAAGAACAGGAGTCCCCTTCTCATTCTGGGCGGCGGTGGAGAGAGAGGGGGGAGGGGTTCGTCTTGACATCCTGACAGTGCCTGTGAGTTTGTGGGTGTGGGGTTGGTCTGGCGGTGGCGTAAGGGGAGAAGGCCTTCTAATACTGGAGCACGCCACCGACTCCCTCTCGCCCCCCCCCCACACCCCCGTGCCCGTCGGCCTCTCCCTCGCTCTGGAGCCTCAGCTTCGTCTCCGCATGTGAACCCCGGGGCTCAGCTACATGAAGGGAGACACAGCGAGAGCTCGTGAGCAACAGGACCGTCAGAAACACAGCCACTAGCGCGCACGGGAGGCCCAAGAATCAAAGCGGGGAGATACCTGTGGCTACCAAATCACAGAGAACGGCCCTCAGAGCCTGGTGTCGCCGGATTTGGGGGGATAAACGACATCGCTACGAATTTAAATTATTTTTGCGATACTTGCCAGGTAAGAGTGGATTAGAGGAAACAAATGAAATCTGAAGCAGAGACAACGTCAACAACTTAACTGGCAGAGCGTGAAGAGGCAGCCAACAAACGGGAAAAACAGGACACGGGAGAACTGGAGACAGCTTGCCAACGCAACTGTAAACCCCCGGTCGGTGTCAAGCCCAAGACAGAAGCTCCAAAGTGGGAAAATGTGAGCCTCGGATATAGAATGGTGTCGGTAATTTGTCAGGTGTTTTTAGTATATCAATTTTGTGTGTTTTTCACATCTAGGCCCACAGCTATGAACCCCACAACCGCACACAGGGAGAATGAGGCCGTTTAGACATACTCCTCCGACCTGAGCCAATCATCTTTGAACACATCACAGTCAGCCCCGCTCTGTATAGGAGGAGCAGTGCTGATTGGAGGAGAGACATGTCTCTCACTGACAGCACCACACGGCTGCAAGCACATCTGAAAGAGGCCTGGTTGTTTAATGCCTGGGTGGTGCGCTACCGGTTGGAGAAATCGCTTGTCACATGACCCAGGCTCGAACCTGCGATCATAGAGCTTAGGGGGGGATCTAAGACATTTAAAGCAGCTGACTTCCTGTACGCGGTTAACTATACTTCTCTGGTCAAAAGGTTCAAGGTTCAAATAACCAGGTCTCTGACCTGCAGGTGATTTCAGGAAAGGCCCTGGAGAACAGGAGCCTACGGAAGGCATCATGGCTCCTGGAAACAATGTGATATTCTGTCTTCCCAGTGATTGCAGCTAACCCTTAATTTCACACCAAGAGGCGAGGAAAGGCCAGCAGGACTTGGATGCTGAAGGCCAGGACTTTCAGTGTGTGAATAAAGACTCTTAATAGCAGCTTCAGGGTTTTGTTATTGTTTCCAATCCACAGGTTCACTTAATAATGCAAAGGCAATGCCTTCCTTAAACAGAACCAGTGAGGACAGCTGCAGGCTTGACTAAAACTATTTCTCTGGGGTCAAGACGAAAGAATCTTTTTCAGTCAGCCGTGGTGACTACTTCATAAAATGGCATGAGAAAAACAGCTCTACCGGAGTAAAAAGGGACTGAGGATCTAAAACATCAAAAAAGAAGCATCTGATAGAGGGAAGTACCGAGTCTTTCAAGTTAGCCATCTCGAACTGCACACCCCTGGGTGAGAACTCATTTCAGACACCATCCGTGAAGCACAATCTTTTTCTGACTGGATTTACAACGTTCTGTGAATGCAAGTGGCAGCTAAGTGGACTCAAAACAATTAGCTCCCCAGAAAAAACATCAAACCTGGATTGTCCTTGATAGGTCATCTGTTACTTTTAAACTTTCGCCTGTTAACAAAAAAAAAAGATACTGCGTGCCATCTTTAACCAGCAACTAAATGAGAAGCTGCCTAACACACACTCGGGGATTATGTGAGTGAAAGCTGATGACCTCTGACCTCACGTCAAGCTGCCCTAGATGCAGCTGACTTGAAGCGGCCGCTCTTTGTTAGGGGGTGAAGGCATGAAGGCAGGCTACAGAAACTCCGGCCTGGTCAACCAGAGAAGGATGGAGTGATGCAAATCAGGATGGTTATGATATAATCCTGAAGCATAGAGCCCCCTCACAGATTCAACCCCCGCTGTCACTGCCGCAGTTCTGTGTCTAGTGATGTTCAGGAGCACTGGATAGTTTTGGCCCACTTTATGGTTTAGTGCCTGGCTCACCCAACATCCTACACGTGTACTCTTTGACCTCTGACACATCCACGTGTAGCTCCTCGACAAGGCAGGACGGCCTTCTGGGAGCACAAAGAGTTGACCAGACCGAAGACTTGACAAGCCGACAGCAGCCAGCGGGGAAGCTGGGGTGCGTGTCACCACCCAGGTCACCCCGACACACATGCGACAGTGTTCAGAGAAGGCCTCCTGTTCGTCTTTAGGCACCCCGCAGACAGAATGAAAAACTAAAGCCTAAAACAACAATCATCACCCTTTTGTTCAATCGATTTTCCACCGCACCCATCTTTTCTCAGTCGCTGCTATACAACTTAAAGCTAGAATACGCTGCACTGTGGTGTCCAGGAAACGTCTCGCATTGAGCACAAGCCGACGCTTTGTGAACCTCTCCTGGAACGTGAACATGGAGAGTGGATGCCGCAGTGCGTTCGGACGAAACAGGAGGAGGAGTCTGGGCGTGTTGAGTCACGCTGTGGATGCATGAAGTTCAAATAAGAGGCTGGTGGACTCGCTCGTCTTTACCAACATGGAACGGTTTCCGTTAGCAGTCAGTTTCGTTTTGACGTGACCCGTCTTGCTATCAGGTTATTCATCCATGGCTGCAGCTCGAGAGGACTTAGCCGCTGCAGTAAGAAGCTCAGCAGTGAGGTGATGAGCAGGTTCGAGGCAGTAACAGTGTTTATGGGTCATTATCGGGCTTCTAGTTTGCTTATTTGTTGCTGCTCCTTGGCATTGATTGAAGTGGTGAAGATACACATTTCTAAAAAGTTTTCTGCAACATTCCCACCCTTCCTACTAGAGGAAATCCAGGATTCAGGTCAAATCACAGTGCTGAACTCCAGATTCTTTTAAAGGCTGGCCTCAGTCTAAGCCAGGCAAACTTAAAAACAGAGCTGGGTTTGCAATCAAGAAGAAGACATCAGTCCCAGGCAGGCTCATTCAATTCCTCTTCTAGGACTGTCTCTCTCTCTCTCTCTGCGAGAACAACTTGGAAAGGTCGCAGGAGGCGGAAAGTATATTCCACAGTCAAAACAGAGGATTCAGAAATTGTGCAAGGAGGACAAAACAAGAGGGGACAAGTTCTCTAAAAAAAATCTTAATAAAAAAAGTTCCCCTGTTGTGCTGAATCACACACGTTGCCCCCTCCTCCCCCTGTCCAGTCACTAATCGGGAGGTTTGAGAGGAAAGCAGTTCTTCAGAGCGCCTCACAGTGGTCAACGCCTGCTAAGACAGGAAGAGCACCAGATGGGGGGAAAAAAAAAAAAAAGACTGCACAGCTGCCATGAGAATAATCAACAAGGACTTTCAAGCATGAGAGTGGAAGAAACACGACACACAGATTCTTCCTGGGGAGTTTGGAGGAATGCTGGCTGCTGTTTGCCTTGGGCTAGTGCCTGCGGGAGAGACGAATGGTGCACTCAGGAAAGAGGCCCTGCCAACTGTACGTCCTGGTGTCAGAGCTCAGTGGAATGGGTAGCGGCCGGGAAGGATCATCAGTTTTGGCAAAAAGCAACCTTAAAGAGATCGAACCTTACTTCACCCAGAAATCCAGCTGCGGAAACATCTGAGCTCTGGCAAAGCCACTCAGTTTAGGATCTCCCTGCGAGTGCTGGGTGCAGGTATTCCACTTTTACCAATATCACCTGTGTGTTTCACACGTCTGACTGGGGAGGGGGGGGGGGCTGAGGTCAGGAGCAAGCTAGCCCAAGGTGCGGACGGTGGGAAAAACAGACTCGAAAAGGACGGAAGAAGAAATCGCCGAGCAGATTGGAAGGGACAGTTAGTCCGTGGAAAGAGCAGCAGCAATAAGTAGGGTTACAGGAGCAGAGGGTGAGGAGGGCAGTGAGGAAAGAGGCTGAGGGGCGGGGGGGCTACACGGCGCTCTGAAGGGCCAGTACGTGGCAGAGGCCAGAGGAAGAGGAAGCAGGGGGTGGGGGACAAGGGGCGGGCAGCCCCGAGGGGTCAGGGGGTGGCCCGAGTCACAGTGAGAAAAGGCACAGAGCAGGAGGGGGGGCAGTGGCCGGCTCAGAATATGGTGGTTTCGTACTTCGTGCTGATGGTCCGCTTGGAGTCTGTCTTCTGGTCCACGAGCCAGGTGGCGCTGCCTTGGGATTGGGAGTCAGTCTCAAGCTCCAGGGGCTCCATCTACAGGGCGGAGGGAGAACAGCAGGGCATAAAACGGTCGGTCAGCAGCAGCCGGACACATTTGTTTTGTTTGACATGGCCGTGGTGTGAATGTGTCCTGCGCGTTCTCACTCTACGCCAGGAACAAACCGCTCCCGCAACAGACTCCCCGGACGCGGCCGAGAGGACGCTGGCCCTCCTGTCCTGTCCACTCCATCGCAGGAGCTGCCATTCCCAGGCCTGGTTTTCTTCCAGCGGGCTGTCTGTCCACTCTAAGAGCCTTCACCCTTCACACGTTGCGCAAGCGCTGCCCTCGCCCAGCCCTCTCCGCACACAGACCTCGTCTCTTCACCTGCCCGGTTCTGGAAACACGGATAATCTCTAACCGGACTCACCCGCCCTCTCGGACCAGCAGGGGAAGAGACGGACAACACACACGCACACCCTCTGAAATGTGCCACGTCAAGGCCTCCTGCTCGTCTGCGCCTCACGAGCCTCCAGTGACAACAGCACAGCTGAGGCACCAGACAGAGGACCGATGCAGCTCATGTCCACATTGCCACAACCTGGCCTGATACGCTCTGCACTTTCAGAACCTCAGCAGACAGAGGCAGTGTCGACTCAGATCAGTGACCTCTGCGCTACAAGGGCCCAACGGCACTGCAAATTGATTCTTACTTGAGCCTCTCAGGAGCTTCTGCCTGGCCAATGCAAAGCGAACCCACTGAGCCATTACTCCACTTGCGCTGTACTCAAATTGAGTGCTATCCTAACCACCGCATGTAATGACACACCCTCACTGCTTCTGCTTCCATTCCTGCTGACAAACTGAAGCTCTGTGACCCTCCATGATCAAACCTCGCGATGCACCAAGATCTACCAACTCCGCTAAGCAGCCTCCACCTCTCTTTCACTTTTTTCCCCCCCTTCTGTCTGGCTTGTGACCCTCGGATCGTGTTGGACGAACACTTCCACGCACAACACACACGCGCGGACACAATGGGCTCGAGCAGGGGTCTCCAACCTGGATCATGGTGACTGCAATCTGGCAGATTGCATCAGACATCATTAAAGAAAGAAGGTTCAAACAGTCTTTCAAATAATGCAATTTAGAGAACACTGGGAACAAAAATCCATAGTCCCTCAATGACAAAAGCGACTTTAAATTGATTCATTGCGTGTTCCTAGTCTTTGCAAATGTGATTTTCTAGGGACGCGTGAGATGGCGCCGATAGGGGAGGCCTAGAAGCAGGATTAGAGACCCCTGATGTAAAACATGACCAAGCAGCCAGAGCTCAGAAATAACACAAGAAAAATCAGGAGAGCAATGGGGTGCTTGAAGATACAGGAACAGGGTAAAGATCAGCTGGTAAGAGGGCGAGAAACAAAGGGAGGAGGAATGACAGCGGGAGGCAGTGAAGGAGGCCGAGCAGGAGAGACAGAGAGAAAGCAGGACCTGAGCTCCGGGGCTGACAGAGCGCAGAGGGAGGTAGGAGGGGCGGTGAGTTGTACACGTGTGACAGTAACAGCAGCGGCTCTCAAGCAGAGGAGCACCCTGGGAAACAGGAGGAACCGAAAAGACAAACACAGAGAGAGACGTTAATGTGAGGCAACACGCAGGTTAGTCAAGCCTTCGTCCCACTGAGGGGTGTGCAGAGGACGTTGGGGGGGGAAAACTTCAGTCTTTGCCCTTTTCTTTTAAAATCACAGTCCTGTCATTCAGGTTGCTGATCCAGTCAACAGTATTATCACCTTGCACCTTCCACTGGAAGAAAGATACGGGTGAACACAAATTTTTTATGTGCCCAGCAGATGAACTGCTGATTCCCCTCATATCTACTTGTTCTGAATTTATTTTAACCCTATATAGTATTTTGGCAGCCTGTCTACAGAGTAGCAGAACAGGGACACGCAGCCCCTGTGCCTTGGGCATCCTGAAAGGATAAGGAGGATGAGTTAGCCACTAAGCCTCTGCACACCCCTGCAGTCACAGTCGCTGGGCCACAGGTCAGGAGGACAGATCAATTCAACAGATCAGACAAACGCATGATTCCTTGACATCAGCCACAAACACTAAGACAGGCACAGTATATTAGGAGCACTGTGAATAATCTGGCTGTAGACCAGACACTAGAGGGAACAAGATGTTTCTCAAAGCTTATTTTGACACCAGGATGAGTGACTGCCGATCTGTAGATTTATTTGAGTTTTTCTTCAATGGGCTTCTCAGTAACACTTCCTTGGCAATTCCAGGCAAACAGCCCCCATCACGGAACTGTGTGCTTAGGCCTTTGAAACAGACGTCAAACCTTTGTTCATTTTCTCACTGTCAGGCTCTGAAGTATCCCATAAAACACTGGAAAAGCAAGCACTGTGCCAGCCAAGGTTACAGTGACGCTAAATGTGATGAGTACCTTCATCCAACGGGGAAAAATTCTGATCAGCCGAGAAAGACTTGGCTCAGCCATGGCCCTCCCATTTCCAACAAGCCCGCTTCATACAAGAGGAAAGGAGGATGACCCCTCTTGGCCCAACCAGCATGCAGGCAGTCGCAGGTGTGGGACGTGCCACATGCTCTTCAGCCTTGTACTGCAAGTGGGCAAGTCTCTGCACATGGGAGTGGCCAATGCAAATGGGCGTGTCCACACATGTGGGCGTGTCCATGTGGGCGTGTCTCTGTGGGTGGACATGTCCTTGTGAATGGGTGCCACTATAAGGGGGGCGTGTCACTGTGGGTAGCCATGGTGAAGCAGCACAACAACATTACAGGAGCTGCTGTTGGTGAGGTATTTGGCAACTCCAAAAACAGAAAAAAAATCAAGACAGCAAAGGACTATAATATGCGCTAGTTGTCAACAGGAGAAGAGACAAAAAGAAGCACTGGCATAACAGTAACAATCAAAACCCAAAGCAACTGCAAAGCATTTTCTCTTTCTAAAATAAATGCCATTTAATGTTAAGAGGCTTGCATCCGATTCTCAGAAAAGAATTGTGTGTTGTGTATATAAATGGACTACTGTGACAAATTGCAGGCCGTACGGTATTGCCACTTAAAACAGTTAAGATCATTACAAGTAGCTAAAATACAATTAGTATGGACCAACGATTATCATTCCCGGAGTGGACTTCAGCAAGCTTGTTAATAGAATGAAGGAAGAAAAAAAAGTCAAAGATCATATTCTTATTTTGCTATTACAGTAGGATTTCCTCATATATAGAATACAAAACATGATAACATTTTCAATTACTCTTGGTGGACCACTGAAATTTCACAAAAACATGTAGCAAATCGTTACAACATATTCAAAGTGCAGACAAAAGAACAGATTTTATATGAGCTAAATGAAAATCTGCAATGCCAGAAATGAGACAATGTTTTGTCGGGTCTTAATGTGGGTTGTTCTCAGTAGGTTTAAACCCTGATACTGCATGGACGGAGCTGGCTGATTATTAACATCTCCAGGTCAACTCATGTTAGAATTCAACAGTTACCTAGATCATAATAACTGGACAAATTTGAACTTGAAAGCAGCAGAGTGTAGCGCTACAATGTGTAAGGGATTTAGAACTCTAGATTTCCATTCCTGTTAAGTAGTGCAAGTTCACCAAATAAAAATTCATTGGAAAATAATGTGGAATCTATACACGACTTGTTTTTAATTCATAGTGACAAGGACTCACTCGCCCTGTGTTAAAATGCCTATAGGATCACTCATATTGAGAGGCCACTGGTTGTTTTAATACAGAAATCCCATTATGGAAGTATTTAAACATCTTGGGAAAGGAAACTACAATCGGAGTCTTGAAGATGATGTAGTGTCAGCCTATAGCTCTCCAGGGATGTTCTGGAATCTCAAAGGCATCTTCAGGAGCCAGCCCTGTAGATCTGGGATTTCCAATCCCAGGATTTTGGAAGAAAATGTTGCATTTATTGCTCACTTCATCCTCCGTCTCGCATGAGCCCCATCGAGGAATTAGAGTTGAACAGGAACATGATTCGGAGACAATTCTACTGGGATTCCACTGCGGCTTTGCATCCTCCTCCACCTCATACTACAGTGAGTCTACAGTTCAGCGACTCAGCACTGGAAAGAGTCGAGTCATCGCAGATACACCCGTCCTAAGTGCCTGGAGGGGCGCCAGCCGCCGCCTCGCCAACACCACTCACCGCCGACTTCCGCACGCTGCCCCGGGGCTTGGGCACCGGCCTTGTGGATTTGGTCTCGATGACCTCTGACCCCGTTGCCGAGGTGACGCCGTGGGGCTTGGTGCGCTGGGCCTGCAGAGCCAGTTGGTAGGCTACCTCAAACGCCTGTCCCAAAGTCAGGATGATCTCATAGGTCAGGTTCTGCGAGAACAAAAACAAGAAACAGCAAGAACACGGTTAGAGAATACCAAAGCACCAAGTGATGATAAATTCTAACTTGTGTTAACACTTGACTATAATACATAGTCTACATCTCGTATGGATACAGACTAATAAAAAGGCCTCTGTAGCCCTGATTGTTGTCAATG